TGACTCGTTGACGCAACAGTAGTTTCATGTTATAATTTGAGGTTTTAGGGATTACACAAAGGAAATTTGAGATTTTTGATGTGAAGAAAAGTATTTTTAATCTTAACATGAAAATTACTTTGCACATGGACAATTCAAAACAAATACTCAATGTATTCATGTACAAATCTTTATTTTAGTTTATTAAAAACATTTCACTAAAAAATATGATTTTTTGTATGTGAAAGACTTAATGTTAACTGAAAGACTGCCAAATTTTGTGAAGTATACACACTATATTGAAAGTTAGAAGTATTAAATCTATAAAGACTTTAAACGAGTACAAAGAAGTCATGTGGTTGGTCCAATCAACCGACCCCATGTTGAGAGAGTTAAAAGTGTCATTGTTTAAATGACCATCCTAAACAAAGGGTATAGTTTGGGAACAAAGTACAAAGGTAATCTTAATGATAGGATAAACTGATAATTGTACTGCTACAAATATAAAAAATTAAATGGATTACTTTAAGGCACTGGTCAGAACAGATGATTTTGATGTAATGAGAATAACTGAAACCTAGTTAAATGTAGACAGTTTAATGACAAGAATTTCTTTGAAATACAGGGTTACAGGTTATTTAATACAGTACTAAAAAAGGGCCTCAGTGGCTTTATATATGTCACTTACAACCTGTTCATGTTGAAAATATCAAAGCTAACAGCAATAATGTTGAATCTATTTGGGTTTCTGTTAGTAGTTATAAGGGGAGAAGGCTTTTACTGGGAAATCATAACAGACTACGAGATGAAACTGATGAAATTAGTGAGACATTTAACAATGATATAAAGCTTTCAGTTGTTAGTAAGGTTATAATTATGGATAATTTTTATTTCAGGCATATAGATTGGGAAATGTTAGAGTCGGATCATGAGGGAGACAAATTTGTAAAAACTGTTCAGATGGTTGTTTTCAACAATCGGTTAGGGAGCTTACTAGGAACAAGACGATTTTAGATTAATTGTTAACTTCTAATAAAGAAATAGTTTATAGGGTGGAGATTAGGGAATACCTTGGTGAAAATTATTAACTCCCAATTATATATATATATATATGATCTTTTGCTGCATAGTTAGATAAGGAATAATGAAATTTTGGTTCCAAATTTCAAAAAAGCAAATTTTGATGAGGATAGACAAAAATTTTCTGTTGTTAATTGGGCAACTGTATTAATTGAAGATACTGAACAAATGTGGAAAAAAATTTAAATAAATGTTTTGGGCATTGCTGGCTGTGATGACAATTGTACTGGTTTAAAAAAGAACTTGAACTATTTGTTAAATAAATGACAGATAGCTTTTAATTTTAAAAAAATGCAAGGTAATGCATGTGAAATATCACAATTTGAAGTACGAGTATAATTTTGATGGGAATAACCTGAACAGTGTTATGGGAGAAAAAAGATCTTGGTGTTATGGTTGGTCTCTTAAACCATTCAAGCAATGTGTTGTTGCTAGTAGCAGGGCAAATAGAATGTTATTTTGTATCTACAGAAATATTGAATATAAGTCTAAAGGGATCATAATGTCAATGTATGCCATTTTTTAGGCCACATTTTGAGTACTGTGTTCAGTCTTTAGTCTCTTATTGTAGTAAGAATATTGAATTGTTGGTTCACAGGAGGGCTACTAAGATGAAACATGGGATGGAAAGGTTGTCATACGAGGACAGGTTAAGATCTTTGAAGTTGTTAGAGACGATATGATTGAGGTGTTTAAGATTGTTAAGGGAATTGATTGTGTTGATTCATCACCTTTTTTCATATTTAATGATAAGACTAGGGGACAAATAAATTTTGGCAAGGTAGGAGTCGTCATCATCTAACACAGCTTTATTTTTCTAACAAGGTGGTTGACCCATGGAATGGTTGCCTTCAGATGTGGTAGGTGCAGTTAATTTAAGGGAAGGCTTCATAAATTTTTAAATATTAAGGGCTCACCTCAAATGTTTAATACTTAATAGACAGGACAGCTTAGTAGATGGACTATAAGGTCTCCTGTTGTTTTTTAATGTTATATTAATATTTATAGGTTCATTAGGCTTAGCAAAAGTGATAAAAATCATGTTGGACATTTAAATCAATGATATTTGTTTATAACATTTCAGATTTGCTATTTAATTCCCACAAGTCACTGCTCAGGAAAGTTTTTTTCTTTTTCTGTTCACTACTAGAACTCATCAGTAGGGTTAGACTTATTTGCAGTCAAGTTTTTCTTGTATTTACGTGTAGTCCAAGAAACTAGGCTGTGAAATGATACTGCACTATTAGCAGTTGAAAATTGAACCTTAACATCATAAAGGGTTGTTAAGTAGTTACATAGTGTAATTAGTTTTTCATTAATAATATCCAAGAGTGGGAACATCAACACAGAATTTTTTTGAAATTTAAAGGTTTTTTTTTGTCAAGTATCAGAGTATGATATCTTTGGTTACAATGTTTCCCCAGCTTAAACTGGCATTATCAGGTACAACAAGTCTTTTACCTGTGCTTAGATGTCTAGATGTTGTACACGTATGTTAGATGGAGCAGAATCGAAATAGAAGAAAAATATTCTTAACTGCAAGCATGTCACATGACAACAAAATTTTTAATTATTGTTTTAGAGGTTTCTTTTGAAATTAAGGAACAAAAACGTAGATAATATAAAACATTGAATTATAAAGTACTTGATAATGCTAAAATCTGGGGTTTGATTCCCTGAGGTGAACACAGCAGATATCCTAATGTGGCTTGTTTTAACAAGATGACAGAGACTGACTATAACTCTCATCAGTAATTACAGCTCTGCATTAATAAGAATGCCTCAAGCATAACTATAATAAAGTACATGAATTTTTTTAATTATAAGTTAACAACAGTTTTTGCTAGTGATATCAAGCTATATAAAATATAGTATTGTTTCAGACTATAAATGTTGATAACAATACTTCAAACACAAATATCATAATATACATGAATTTACTAATTATATGCTAGCATTACAGTTTGCTAGTAATATCCAGATTTACAAAATACAGTATTGTTTCAGACTATTAATAACAATGCTTCAAACATAACTATATAAATATATGAATTTTAATAATCATAAGTTAGCAACACTTATTGCTAGTAATATTCAGGTCTATAAAATACAATATTGTTTCAGACTTTCTTTGAATTATTTTTTTTTCTTAATATACTCTATACCTTTTAATAATTATTCGTCTAAATAAATTTTAATTAACAGTATTATCCATTTGGTGTTATATTAGCTTCCTGTGAATATTTTGAGTTCCAGTGTCAAGATGGGACATGCATAGATCAACGTAGACGATGTGATCGACATTCAGACTGTCCTGACTATTCTGATGAATATAACTGTGGTACCTAACTTTAATTTTGTTTTTAACTAACTTTTCTTCATGTACTCTGAGGGTAGATACTGATTCTGTGTCATTATTTAACATATTAATCAGTGCATGATGCTTTGTAACAGATAACAAGTTCTAGTTCTTGATTTGTGTTAAATGTGAGGCTTAAAAGTAACTAACAGTTTTGTTATTTTCTATGTCATATTATTTATTTTGTGCTTTGTTTATTAATTGACATTGCTTTTGAATGCTTTTCATAACATAACCAAAGCATGATTTTTGTTACATTTTTAACCATATGACAAAAAATTAATTTTGAAGATTTGCATCATATAAAAATGCTTGAAATCTGAAAAAAGTATTGGTTGCTGGGTTTAATTTTTTATAACATTAAGTTTCCAGAATGATCTTTCATTGTACTTGTGAGGAATGGTGCATGTTTTCTTTCTTTAACCTCCAGTTTTTTTCAGTTAATGTCTTTAGTTGTGGACCTGACCAGTTTAGATGTGGTGATGGGACATGTATTGAAGCTGAGAGACGGTGCAACCACGTGTCCGATTGTTCTGATCAGTCTGATGAAGTTGGCTGTTACAGAACACGAAGATGGGGTTGGTTTAACAATTTCTGCTAGTTTGCACTGTTAAAGTGTGACCCAAACAACACTAAATTCAATTAATATATGAACTTTTAATTCTAACACAGAGTACTAGAAATTACAGTCACTGACAATTTGATATCAAAAGAAAGCTTGAGTTGTTTTAGTGACAGACAAGACTATTGAACAGTCACTGACACAAGCAATTCACAAGACAAAGTTCATTTGTCTTGATATTTAGGTACAACACACATAGGTAGTCTGAATTACAACAGTCATTAAGACTTGTTTATTATCAGATATCGGAGTATAATTTCTATGATTACAACATTTCACCAGGTTAACCTGGTATCATTACGTATAACTACAAGGATTGAACTAATAATACAAGCAGATCGATACATTGGTCATTGATTAAGCGAACTTCACAAGACTGCAGAACATAAAAAATAAGTTGCAAATGGTCAAACAACTAATGTTTCTATACGTAAAGAATCTTGATCATAATATCATCTGCAAATTAGCCAACTAAATATATGAAGCTAGAAATTATATCAAAAATTGTGAAAGGTTGCAAAACTGCAAACACCATGTATAGAAAAATAGTACTAATTGTTTGACCATTTGCAACATATCTTTTATGTTCTGTAGTCTTGTTAAGCTCCAGGAATCAAATACCAATGTATCGATCTGCTAGTTTTTTTGTATTATCTAGGTGATGAGTTCACTCCTTGTAGTTATTGTACTTGATGATGCCCAGTTCATCTGGTGAAACATTGTAACCATGTATATCTGACAATAAAAAGTTAAGTTTTACATAACAGAGTATTTCCTTTGATCATTTAGTTATTAACAATGTCATATAAATCGTCTACAGAACAAAAACTGCAGAAAAATAGTACTAATTGTTTGACCATTGAAGAAGCACAAAATTAGTTATATTTACCATAGAATTAGGCTTATTGTATCATTAAACACTAAATTCTTTATTTAGTCCCTTAGGGTTATTCTGAGGAGAAAAATTTGTGTATAATGGTATTTTAATTACACTATATCCATGGCCAGAAATTAATTTTGCTCAATACCATGGCTCGTCGGGTTAACTGGAATACAATAAATGTAGCAGTAGTTGGAATACTATTTCTCTAAGCCATTTATTAGAATAACAGTTGTTTTGGTGTGAATTCCTTTCCTGGCAAAGCAAGAATTTGATAAATTATTTTTGCATAAGACCATAGTATTTAGGTTTATTGTATCATTAAACACTAAATCCATTATTTGGTCCCTTAGGGTTTTGCTGAGAAGAAGAGTGTATAATAGTATTTAAGATATTATAGACACAGTATGGTTTAAGTAATATCATACACTTCTCTTCTCAGAAGAACTCTAAGAGCCCGAATAAAGATTTTAGTGTTTAATTTAAAAATACAGTAAGTCTATTCCATAGGTTCCTTCCTCCTTGGTCTTCTGCTTGACTTCCCCCAAGTACTGTCCCAGAGTTTCTGCAGTAAATGGTTTTTCTTCTGTGCTTCTGTAGACCTACATTCAGGATGTCATCCTTCGAGACTTGCAAGGGCTCGATGACTTACTTGCTTTTCATTCCTTGAGCTGTATTTGTGACTGCAAATGCCTTATCATTCTCCTTTCTTTCTGGTTCCTCCAAACTTCTACTACCTGGTATATTGCCAATCACCAAATCATAGATGGATGCCTTCATGCACATGGCTTCAAGGTCTCCGATGTAGTATGGAATGTCCACCTTTCTCACTGTCTCATCAATCAGCACACATAGATGTACCTTGCCCATCATCTAGTCATCAGATACTAGACTGGTTCTCACTGCTGCACCCAGTGTCTCATAGGACTTTCACTTTATTGTCCCCAACATAGCCTTCACCTCCTGGTATGTTGTAGTTCATTGGCACCTCTCAATGTTTGTCGTTGCATACTCTGATCACCACTGTCACTGTTGACCCATTTTCTAACTTGAGCTGACCATCAATCATGCACTGTTTAACACATTGGGTGCCACATTATAAATTAAGTATAAATAAAGTTAAACATTCGAAAGGTGCCGAGGAGCAGTCACAGTGTCCCAAACTGATATGCCACAAGAGAAATTTGGCTTGGAAAATTAATCATCTGTGACCCACCAGTGTGTTACGTGGTCCATGATTAAAGTCAGTTGTGGCCCATTGGTGGGGCACATGGCAGCCAACATGTTAATGATGGTGACAGCACTTCCTTCTTGTGGTGAAACTAAAAAGTTGTCTGTTTCTTCTGGCAACAACATCCATGGTGACATTCACTCTTTTCTTGTTTCTTGCCAGCACCATCTTTGTGGGTAGCTCCAGCTGCTTTATGTTGAGATTTCTACTGCTGCTTGTTGATGACAGATTTGCACTCACTTGCAATGTGCCCCATTTTATGACAAGCATAGTGTATTTTCCCATTTGTCTGTTACCTTCTTGTCACCTTTGACGGCATCCGGATTCTGGTCAGCCACCCTTGGTTTCGACTTTGGCTGGTTATTCTTGGACTTGCCAATTATACTCCCTCCATAAGCTTCCGTATACTGTTCTGGCAGCTTGGTCATCTCATCCATGTCTTTTAGTGCTCTCTCCTTTAAGGACAATGCTATGTCAGTGGAGCATGTGATCATTAACTGTTCACGTATTAGTAGATATGCCAGTCCATCTTGGTGATCTCAATTTGTGTTCTAATTCTCTCTATTTCCAGTCTCTCCTCTCTCTCCTTTTCTTTTTCTCTCTCTCTCTTCCTCTCTTCTCTGTCTCTTCTTCTTTCTCTTCTATTGACACACTTCCCTCTCTAGGTCTTGTTGTTTAACAATTTCTCGTAGGTCCAAGTTGCTTGTCCCCTCTCTATCCACTTATCAAAGTCAGTGGTTGTATACTGTGATTGTGAACTCTACAATATTTTCACTGCCACTACAGCTATGTATATATAGACCTCTTTGCCACTGTTGATCCTGGCTGGCTCGCTACGGTCAGGTTTTGGGAGACCAGATTCTTTATGTTAGTTGTCAGTGACTTGTTGACAATAAGTTTCAACTGTAAGCAAATGGTAACACAGTCCACTTGTTTTAAAAATAATATATTAAAAACAAATCAAACATGTATGCAAATATTCATTACACTGTTGGTTACCACATTTGTATCCAAAGCTTTAAGTAATTCTCTTTTTGTCAAAGTCCACACAGGCTGGTTCAGTTACTGTAGAACACAATTTAGAAGACAAGTTATTCTTCTGTGATAATTTCACTTTAAAAATCACCACTATACACTGTTTATTGCTAACCTCAGCATCACACAGTCTAGAACTAGAACTAAATAATGATTGTTCAATGCATATTTATATTCTGACAGAAGTCTAGAACATTCCACGTAATACTAGATATTCTGATGTAACAATATTCAATTAAACTGGGAAAGTTCTAGCAACATGATGTAATAATTTCACTATTTTAAACAATCACTAAATCATAACTGAACCACACAATGTATGAATCGTAAACAGTTATGTAAACAAGCTTACCATAAAATATTGCTTCTAAAAATATCTAAATATGACACCCATGCTATATAAACTATCTAAATCATAACACTTGCCTTAATCTGAAACAGTTGCACATATCTAACACTTCCCCAGGAAGGGCATTCACACCATTACAACTAAATATGACACTCATGCTATATAAACTAGCTAAATCATAACACTTGAAACAGTTACACATATCTAACACTTCCCCAGGAAGGGCATTCACACCATTACAACTAAATATGACACCCATGCTATATAAACTAGCTAAATCATAACACTTGCCTTAATCTGAAACAGTTACACATATCTAACACTTCCCCAGAAACGGCATTCACACCATTACAACTAAATATGACACCCATGCTATATAAACTAGCTAAATCATAACACTTGCCTTAATCTGAAACAGTTACACATATCTAACACTTCCCCAGGAAGG